GGGGCGGGGGTCTGCCTGGACCTCTCGGTCAGACTCCCAGCAGAAGCCTACTATGCAAAGAGACGTGGGGGAGCAGCAGATGCGACAGGATGTTGGAAGCCAGCGCATCTCCGTGGAGGGCAGAGATGGGGTGGCATGTTGGGGCCCAGCCTCTTAGATTTTAGCTTGCGTATGGGTGTTATGGCCTCATTGAAATTTTTATTGCGATGATTGTACACCTGGTCACAGGCAGAGCGACACCTTGTGCACATTGCCCACTGCCCGCAAAACGGCAACATCGGGCAACACGCAGCATCATCTCACAGCCGGGATGGTGACGCGGGTCCCGGGTTCGAGGGCGCTCGTCGCGTGCTGGGCTGGACACGGTGTTCTCTCGGGCGGGTGGGTGTGTCAGACCCCGAGCAGGCCCCTGGCGTGCCTTCCCGGAGCCATGCCTGCTTCCCGCCCTCCCCCGTCCCCCCACTAATGTCGGGCAACCCTCGATTTGCCCTGATTCCACAGACCTCGGCGAGTGGAACGGTGCGGGACGCCGCAGCCTCAGGGACAGGCTCTCCCCTGGGCACCCTCCCCGGGGCCGTGCCACGCTGCTCCTCTGGCCGGGGGCGCGCTGTTCAGCTGGATGGCTGGACCACAGGCTGTTTACTCGCTCACATGCACATCTGGACTTATTTCACTTTGGGGCTGTTACAAATAGAGCAGCTATGAACATGAATGTAGAGCTTGTCTTAAAAACTTTTTTGTAATGTTTGCGAGTTTAGAGAGAGAGGAAGGGAGAGGGATAGAGAGAGAAACATCGATCGGCTGCCTCCTGCACGTGCCCTACTGGGGATGGAGCCAGCAACCCGGGCCTGTGCCCTGAGCGAGAATGGAACTATGACCTCTGGGTTCATGGGTTGACGCCCGACCTCTGAGCCATGGCCGCTGGGCTCTTTTTTTTTGTAAGATATCAGATTTGGAAAGAAACACGTGAGCCGCACAAGCACCCAGGTAGATGGCGAAGATACCCTCTGCCCCCACAGTCACCTCTGTGGCTCCGCCGAGGTCGGCCCTGGAATCCGTCCGCTGAAGCCTGGAGTGTGGCCCTGAGCACAGGCACCGAGTTGCAGGAGGGGATGGGGCAGGCGGGTCTGGAGGAGCTGCCTTCCGACCGGAGCAGACGCGTGGCAGCAGCGCGCAGGTGCTAACAGGTGGCCCCTCCCCATGGGCAGGTGAGGGTCCTCCCAGCCGTGTCCAAGGGGGACCCCGAGGGAACTTCTGGGTGTTTCCTGCCTCGGGAGACGGGTCACCCTGCTGGCCCAGCGCCCCCGGGTCCCCACAGGGCACCTACAGCTTGTCTCTGGGACTTGCTTGTTTTCACAGGTGCCTCCTGGGGCCCTGGTCTGTCCTGCCTGGCCTGGTCTTCACCAGCTCTGACCCAGCTAGGCCACCTGGGGAGGTGGGTCTGCCCCCTCCCCACTCCCAGTGCCGGGGTGCTCTGCCGCCACCGGAAGGGGCAGCAGCAGCAGCAGGAGTTTTGTGGGGACCGAGCGTGTCTGTCTCCCTGAGAAGGGTCATTCCTCCGACAGACGTCTGCCGACACCGGCCCTGTGCCAGGCTCCGCTCGCTCTGCGTGTCAGCTGCTGGGGGAGCGGGCGGCAGGAAACAGGCCAGCCGTCACGCAGGCCTGCCCGGTGGAGGGGGGCTGAGGGACCCACAGGCTGAGGGCCCCAGGGGCCTGGCTGCCACAGAGCGGCCCAGGGGTCCTGGGTTGAAAGGTGGGGTTGGAAAGCTTGACCGGCACCGGTCACAAGTGCCCTGGGGTGTCTGCCCCGAGGCCCCAGGCCCCCAGCGAGACACAGACGGACGGTGAGCAGGTAGAGTGGACAAGACCAGGCCATGGCAAGGAGGGGCCGCGGCGGGAACGTCCGGAAGCCGCTGCCCCCCCCTCCATGGCGCCCCCACGGGGACTCGCTCACATGCAGGAGGGTGTCCGTGTCTGTCAGGAGGCAGGTGCCTGGAGGCGCTGTGTTACCCCCGAGGGAGCTGGCAGGGTCCCTACACCCGCCTCCCCGCCTCCCGCGGGGTTCGCTGCTGGTGGCATGAGCCGGGCGCTGACAGTGTAGGCCCTCAGCTCAGCCTGATGCTCCTCGCGGCTGGGGCCGTACCCGGAGCTCACACACCCCAGGGTCGGGGGTGACCACAGGGGACGGGAGGACGGGGGAGAGGAGGGGTCAGAGGGGCTGCTGGGGAGGGGCCGGGATCGCAGGGCGAATGGGTCCACGGACAG